TAAGGCCTTATATGGCCATAAATGTGAGCTTATAATTACGAAGTAGTTGGAATAGCTATCTGGCATCCATCGCAATCCATAACTCTAGATAAGTCAGTGGTGGTGGTGTTATGCACGATGATAATTCTAGTGCAGGCACAAGGTGGAGGTTTGTTTCATGGGTTTTCTTAGTTATGGGTTTTCTTAGTTATTGATGCAATGAATTTAATGTTTACCTAACTAGTGGTTTGCAGTCACATGACAAATGACATTCCACTTTAGATGCCATATGGAAATGTGATATAACAGATTCAAATGGCAACCTATTTGCAACTGCTTCTAAATACATATGCCATATGCAAATGTGGTGAATTTTACCATTTGGCAAGAATGATGCCATTAGACTTCATATAATCACTGCTTCTAAATACAGATGCCATAATTTTATATGTCAGTTTAATAATTTTAATAATCCAAATGAGCCTTAGAAATCAAGATCTTACTTTCACGAAGCTGCAAAGCATTTTGAACCATTCCATAAGATACATAAACTTCTAAATCATAACTTACTTCCCTAAGGGGCTGTTTGTTTGCATCTGAATACTCGGTCAGATGAATTCTTGTTTGGTAAAAAARTAACATCTTCTGAATATTACCAACAAGCTCTGAATCGCTCCCTTCTATGTGTCATATCAGTATCATTCAGAGACAGTGTTTTTCCACGGTTACCCTTGCTTCTCTCTTATWTTGCCCTTGCTACTGGTTTGTCTCTCTGTCTTCCTCTTGCTACCGGTTCATCTCCTTGATTTGATTGAAATCACAAGAACCTTAACACTTTCAATAGCAAGAACCCTAACAATTTCAGTCACAATTTCGTTAGGAATCTCAATCACAAGGACCCTAACAGTATTTCGTAATAAAAKGAATACATATTTTATGATGAAGTTTCTGATATTSGGTTGTTGAAAGTGTCATAGATTTGYAATARTGTGAGASCCATAGACAAAAGATCCATGCATAAAAATCAYTGGAGGACTTGTTTTRTATGTTTATGGATGGGATGCAATAGGTTCTGGAGGCTATTGGGATWCCACMCCCTTCGTAYTGTTCAATCTAWTCCTACTTGAAAACTTWGCACGATAGGACCACCCTTCTTATGTTTCATGTTCTTGGACTTTTAGGTGGTTTTGTGTTGTTTCTTTTTAAATCAAATTGTTGTCCAAAATGCAGCAGCCCCAAAATGGATTAACTTTTAGCTAGAGGATTTTCCACTTTTTYCAAACAGATAAGATTTTGAATGTATGTGTCATAATATAAGTGATATCAAAATGCCCACATTTTACTAGAGACTATTACGATCTTGGGTGATATGAACATGCGTAAAAGCTGCATTTAAGGTTAACATGTGCTCGAATCTCATCATACACATAATGAATATCGTCTCCTAGGATACAAAATGAAAGTTGACCAAAATACAGTATTGGTGTATCATTATCAGTAAACACCAGTCCAACAATATCTTAAGTCATTTACTAACATTATCCAGTTGGTAGGCCTAGAGGCAGTGGTTGAAGTAGGGGTTCAAGAGGCAGTTCAAGGAGAGGTTCAAGCGGCAGGACTTCAAAGGGAAGGGGTTGGTCCAGTTCCACCGATTGTGGTAAGTAAACATTGTGATTCTATATGTTTTTTTATTAAATTTTTTCGATTTGTTATTCAAAAGTCATTAGGTAATTAACGTGATTTTTTTCTTATTTGAAGTTGAAGCAAAAGAAGGGGAAGAAACTGCGTCTAAAATGACTAAGTGGAGTCGGGTGTAATATTGGTTGAGCATTAACGAAGTATAGGAACATTTTGGTTTATAATTGATAGCGGTGTTATGTTATTGCCCTTTTGATACATCATTTTTGTAAAATATTTCACCATCTGGAATATTTTTGTTAATTAACTTATCAGATGTTTAGCCATTATTATAAATGTTTTTATTATTTGGTCTTGTTTAGTTAATTAAAATTTAAACAAATAATAAGCCTAAAGATGTAACTTTTCTTAATTGAAAATTACGTATTTCACAAAATAATAAAATTAAAAGAATGACATGAATTTTTTAATTGAAAAAAAATATAAATTAAAAAAAAATGATGTGAAATTTTCCTTTATTGAAAAAAATACAGAAATCTAAAAAAATTAAAAATGACATGGATTTTTTTCTTAGTTGGCATTGATAAAATAAATAAACAATGCCACATCAATAAAAACCTTATCCTAGTCAACATTTGTAAGTCATTAGGTTGACCAGGTACTTAAAAGATTGATATTTTACAATTGAGGTACCAAAATAAAGGTTTTAAAAGTATGTTACCCAAAATAGGAATCAGATGAAAGTACATTACTTTTTAATGCAATTTGCCCTTTTAAAATTTATTAAAAATATCATGTTTGGTTACTTATATAAGCTAACTATTTGAAACGCTACTTGAAATAACAATTCAATAAGTTGTAGAGGCTTGTTTTCTGTTTATTTATTTATTTCAATCTTATTCTTTAAATTTTGTCAACTAATTTTAAAAAAAATAGTCTACATTGTCATTTAACTTATAAGCAAAACTAGACCCAATAACTAGTTTTTCAATTTATTAAACAACAATTGATTTTTCAACAAAAAAACTAATTTATCAACTCATTTTGTAAACATAGTTTTAATAATTATAGAGCTGGGTTCAATCGAAATATTTTTCTTTTCGGATTAACCTGGATATCCAACTCGTTATGCGAGCCGACTAATCCCAGGACAACCACTACTTGCAGATAGCTCGAAGTCACCGCATTTAAACTTTCGTGACCACAAGGGGATTTTTATTCCTCCTTGGTTTAAGCCTGGAACCTCCTGTTACTTTTAACCTTTGAAGCCAAGTTCAACCCAATCAGGCACCACCCTTGTGGTTTCGAAATATAATTTATAACTATGGACAACAGTTAGTTGAGTGAAACCTATTACCTTTTTTGGCAGCCAATACACCAGTCCAGCAACAAAAACACAGAAAACCCCAAATCATTGAAACAAAAAACAAGCATAAAGATTTAGAAACAACTAGGTTTTAACGTTTCACAAAAAAGACCAAGTTTGTATAGACAAGTTTTAGGCAAGGAGCATTCTAATATTTCCCAACCCGACATTTCGATCTCCCAAAGCCAATTAAAGCAGCAAATCTTTCTAAGATGCTTACACACTTGTTAATTTATCTTGGCCCTCGAAAAATCCATCTCCGGGTGCTGCACAAAGTTTAAGAATGCTATCAGTTGCAGTATAAACAAGTTGTTAGTTGATAAGTTGGCCCGATAAACCAATCATGCTTCGTAAAAGAACTAAGATGACGAATATTAGCATATGGATGCCAAACATGACAGGTCAACCCACACAGAAGTGACTGTGTAACTAAAGATGCACAAAAGCCCGAAACCTGGTCCAGGCAAGGGCGCCAGGCATTAAAGCCCGATCAGACAAGAATTTTGGGGGTAGTCAGGTCCGGGAAAGCCCAATTGTGCCCTTTTTTTACCCCAAAGACCGGCCGGGCCTTTTTCTTTCTCACTGCAAACAGGCTCGGAGGGCCAGAGCCCAGGCCAGAAAAGGCATGGGCTTGTGCATCACTAGGTGCAAGTTTGAGGGATAAAGTTTCACCTCTGCCATGAATTTCTTCAGAATGTCCTGTTTCTGCATCTCATCACTTGTTGGAAGACCCATCTGCTTCTGCCGTTGATCAAACTAAAGCAGCCAGATATAGAGACCGTTAGGGAAAAATCGTGTTTCTTTAATAAATTGAGAAAAAGGGGATCTGACAAGTGACCATAAGCAATAAACTATACAAAATCTTAAATCTGTAGTGCAGTAGCTTCCTACCATCATCTTTTCAACAGTAGATCGGGTTTCTGGATCGAGGTCAGCTAGTTTACTGTTCTCGGGTTCTACTTTCTGAGTGTCAATTTCAGGTTCACCCTTGACCAAGAATTTCCACCATTCCATTTGATCTTGTTTGGTTAAGAGTATCGAGATAGACTTTTGATCCTCTGAAAAAGAAACATCGGAAAAATAAGTGAAGCAAAGAAGTTGCAATAAAACAAATCATATAAAAAAAACAACGAAAAATTACTATAGCAAAAGGCCATTGGCCCAGTGGTATCCAGGTTACCGCTAGATTCCAGCCTCCCAAAACGTAACTTGAGCATTTGTTGTATACAAATATTATATACTTCAAAACAATGATCATACCTAAGCTCCAGAAACAATCATCAACCTTGACGGACTTGTACAAGTCCCCCTGCATTCAAAAGAAAATGCTTAGCCCCTTTATTAGAATAAAATTTTGCATCAGAACGTTCAGATGATCTAAACGCCACCAGCACACTTACATCAAGAATCGGAGGCTGGCCCTTAAGTCCAACTTTTAGATGGTTCTTCTTTATTTCACATGCAATAAACCTCGACTTTGTTCCAGAAGGAACGGGAATGTTTATGGTGACCTCTTGCAAAGTCTGGATCCAAGAATAGTTCTCCATGTCCAGTCCATTTCCTTTATTGGGCGCTGCTCATAAATTCAGAAGAGATGAGAAGACTGCTCTAGAAAAGAGATGAGAACCATCATATAAAAGTAAATACTGCAATATCATAAAATGAATCATAGATATAAGAACCATGGGTACACTGCCTTGATGATTATATGATTATTAGGCTTGTTCACTATGTCAAAACATAAATTACAGGAAAAATCTAATAACAAGTCTAACAAAATAGACTGATAACCATTAAGCTAATTCAGTTGGGCATGCCAACAGAATACATAACATTTACAAATGAGTAAAAAATTGCATTATATGCCAGAATACAAAACATTTACAAATGAGTAAAAATTGCATTGCATTCCCTCGCTGTTACAAATATAAAACATGTACTATATTGTTTAAGTTGGGGCACGGAATATTGCAGTTCGGAAAATAGTGATCACCGGTCACAGGATAACCCGAGTTTAGATGTCAAAGAATCTTAGGCTACCATACGATGGACTTCGGAGAAAGTACATTACCTTTCAAAAGCCAATGCCCTACAGCAGTATCAACATTCAACAAAGACAACAGATTCTTAGCACTACCAAAAACCCTTATATATTGACCCATAAGAACAACATATGAACCGGCATGTCGCTAGCATTTGGTAGAAGGGACAAAGAAAATTTTGTTGTCCCGCCGCATTTAGAGTACGACAAATGTGTCACAGCAAAATAAGTGGGACACAAATCAGCGAGAAATGGGACAAGATTTGTAAATACTAAACTACATGTATCAAATTAAAAACTTGTAAACCTGGCAGCACAATTCATTCACCACCTACCTCACTCTCACTCACCCATCCATGTCCGGCACCTAACACACCCTAAAAAAACTGCTTTTATCAAGTATTAATCAATCCCCAAAGTCTTAACTACAAGTCCCATCACTTGTCCTTTTTGCCAACATAAAATATTAACAAACTAAAATCACTATGCATCAAGCCAACGACTTCACTTTCGAATGAAACTATGCATCATATTCTGCGAAAGATCAAAGCCAATAGCATGTGTTCATCGTTATGCTCTTGGCTTTGATCTTGATTTTCTTTGATAAATATATAGGTACATGTTTTGCAGAAAATTATGCATAGTTTAATTTGAAAATGAAGTAGTGGCATGAGGCATAGTGATATTAGTTTGAATATATTTTATGTTGGCGAAAAGCATGGTTTTGATCTTTGATTTTACTTGATAAATTTGTAGGTACATGTTTTGCAGAAAATTTATGCATATCTTAATTCGAAAATGAAGGGGTTGTTTAGCAGTAGCTGAATGGTTTGGTGCAAAATGATTAAGTGGTCAGAATGATTAAAAGGTTCTCATGATATAGTGCAAAATGAAATATTATTGTTTGGTAATTGTTTACAATGAAATTAAGGCGCTTAATGGTTAAGGGAGACTCATGATACAAATCATTTAAGGGGTTTTAGAACCATTAAGAGGCAGACTTTTTTTTTGCCAAACAAGATTCACCTCTTAATGATTCAGAGATTATCTACAACCCCGAAGTAGTGGCATGAGGCATAGTGATATTAGTTTGAATATATTTTTAATATGGCGAAAAGCATGGTTTTCAAAATGATTTGAGCGCCTCAAGAAGAGGCGGTAGGATTCCGAATACGGGGCGCTGCCTCAACTGAACCGAATTAAACATATGTCTCGGTCCATCTGAGGCGGGCCTTGAGACGTATGAGGCGGTACCAAGGCATGGGTTTGAAACTAGGGTTTCCAAATTGACTTAGGCCTAAGTTAACTAACTTTATCCTTTTGTTCATTCACCCTCCTCTAGTCTAGTCGTGGGGGTTGTTGCTCCTCCTTCTCTGCTTCTACCATCTTGTTGTCGATTGAAGAATAGGGGGAAGGAATTTCCAGTACAACAAAATGATATGAGAGATGACTTTTCATTTTTATATTGGACGTTTTTATATGAGATTTTAATTCTTTTTTTACAAGTGTGAGACTTCAATTCTCTCCATATTGATACATGTGCTACTTCAATTCTCTTTGCATAGATAAATGTGTGACTTTAGGTTGCATTTGGTAAATGGGACGTGACAGGATGAGACGGGACAAAACTCATTGTCCCATGTTTGGCGCAACATAGCACAGAACAAGAACTCACTAGCCCACATTCGGTATGACATGGGACAAAGACAAGAACAGGGACAGCATGGGACCAATGAGGCTTTTTCTTGTTCCACCACAAGATGGGACAAAAATAAGACAAGAACTAAAATATTACTAATCTACCCTAGTTTGATATATAACCTTAATATGGAATTTGTTTTAATAGTCATCACTACTAGTTTCAGCCGACGCCGCCACCACCGACGGCCACCTCTACTTCCTCTTCCACTATAACATCTTCCACCGACTCCACAACCACCGTCCACCATCGTCCATCATCACCTCTTCCATAGTCAACCATCGACCACTACCGTTGTTCGCCACCTCCAACTCCTCAACTACAACAACCTCCTTCACCACAGACTACCACCAACCATTTCCACCTTTACAGCCACCATCGGCCACCGACCACCACAAACACTACCACCATTGGTCACCTCCAACTCCTATACCGCAACAAGACCTCCACAACCACCGACCACCACTGTCCATTGCCACCTCTACAACCACCACTATCCATTGCCACCACCACTGCCACCGTTGACCACCGCCAACTCCTCTAATGCAACAACCTCCTTCACGACCTCCACCAACCACTGTCGACCATCGACCAACACCATCCATTGCCACCTCACCTCCACCATAACCACCACCATCACCACTATCTTCACTACATCAACCACAACTACCTTCTCCACCGTTGTCAACCGCCACCACCAAAACAATCCACCATCTTCACGTCCTCTATAACCATCGTCGTCCACCAACCACCTCTACCTTCATAACCATCGGCGCCCATCGCCACTACTATCGTCAGCCACCATCACCTCCATCGTAACCAAAACCACCTCCACCGCCACCACTATCTCCACCACTACTACTGCTACCATCAATTATATCAAATTTTTCATTCAAATTTGATACCATTATATATGTATGTATTCATTTATATGAAAATTATGTAAAATTATTTATAAATTTTATTCTTTAATAATTAATTTATTTGTGTTTGTTAATTATAACTATTATATAATATTTAAAATCATTAATTAACTTTTGGGAGTAACTTGTCTAGTTCTGTCTCATCCAATCCTAATTGTACCAAACATCAGACATACACTTGTTCTGTTTAGTCAGTCCAGTTCTGTTCAATCATGCATGCGTATCAAATGCTACCTTAATCTTCTCTATGATAAAGGTGTGACTTCAATACTCTCTATTGATAAATATGAAACCTTAATTTTCTCCTAATATGTGCAAATCTAATCACTTTTTGACAAAAACTAAATAATAAAATCTTTATATATCAATTACATATATTCAAATAATTTTGAGACTATTAATGATGATTTTAAATATTATTATTAAGTATGTACTACATGCATATAAATATTTTTTTTAGTTTCCACCTCACACCAACACCTAGAGACCCGATCCCGCTTTCTAAAACCTTGGCAAAAATGATAAGTGATGGGACTTGCAATTAAGCCTTTGGAAATTGATGAATACTTGATAAAAGCAGTTTTTTTGGTGTGTCAGGTGCCATTCACCAAGCCAGTTGAGAACCAATTCATACAATCGACAAACGGCAACATAAAGTACTTATTGTAACCAAAGAGCCTTTGGCCTAGCGGTATTCAAGGTTTTAGCCTAGGAAGAGGCTAAGGGTTCAATCATGAGGATGGTGTGTAAGTTTATTTGTTGCATATGTCGTTTATAAATAGATTCTATGTACTTCAATAAAAAGTAATTATTGTAATTCAATTGTTGAATAGGAGTCAGATAAAAGCTAAATGAAACAATATCGGATAATAAAGATGATTAAACACACATATATACCTCGCAAGCCGTTCTTATCATCGGTCGACTCCTCCATCTTCTGGTCCTCCGGTTCCTTGATGGAACTTCCGGACTGCGCCGGTCGATACGATGAGGAGTCCTCCTTAATACGCTTGTTGTCGGCCCTTACATCGGCACCGCCATTGCTGGCGGCGGATGCCGCTTTCTCTTTCCTCGTCCTTTCATCAGCATCAAGCTTCTCCTTCACCGTACGAACCAACCCGTTAACATCCTTGATCACAGAATCCGTCTTGAAGAAATCGGTTTCCCGAGCAACGAACTCGAGTGCTGTTTGGAGAAAACCAAGGGGATCAGATGAATCAAGAACAGCATTAAACGGCTTCTTCAGAGACTCCGTGGCCTTCGTTTGCTTCTGATCATCCTCTTCGTAATCGGAAAGAATCGCCATTGTTTACAGCAAAGTGATTTGAGGGAAAAAGAGACTTAGGGTTAGGGTTTGAGAGTGAAGAGTCGGGGGTTTTTAAGAAGAGACGGAGGTGTAAATTGGAATTAGAGACGTCAATAAGTCATCATTTATTATTTTAAAAAAATTAAAAAACAAAATAATCTTTTTTGTTCCAAATAATTTAGTTTTTAAATAAAAAAAACAATTAAATTTGTTTATTTTGAAATATTAGAAGAGTACTTATGCAATACAGCGATACATATCTTGATTTTAATATTTTATTTTATTATTTGTTTCTGTCGATCTTATAATACGATTTTATGTGTTTTTAAAAAGACAATAATAATTTTGTTTTTGAATAAAATGTAAATTTGAAGATATCATAAAAAATTGAAAAAATATATATCAATGTTAATATCAAATCAACTATTTAAAAATTCTTATTTTTTATGTAATTTCTTTAATTTATTTATTATAATTTAATTTAAGTTTAATAACAAAATAATTTATTTTTGATTTAATAATATAACATTTTATAAAGATAATAATTAAGTATTCTGTTAAAATTCAATGATTGTACATACGTACAATCTCCTTGTAATCATGAGTTGTAAGAAATATGCATTAATAAACAGTATTTTATGCATAAAAAACTATTTTTAAGAGTTTTTATCAAATGTTTTATAATATAGTATAGATTATGTGTTTTTAAGAAAAA